CGTAACAACGCAAAATGACAACATACTTCTGATCTGATATGATTGACAGATTTTTCTCTGCTCTGCTACAGTTATCAGGCCTCTGACAGGGGTGCTTATGGCTATGGCGTGTTTCTGTAGAACTTACATGTTTTAAATGCTGCATGCTGATAAGGAATAACTTTTCCCAAGGAACATAGGACGAAATCTGAAAAATATTTTTGGGCCTTCCTTACAAAATTTCCGATAAGCTGATTCATGTTCCTATGGGAGGACCTAATTTGTTTCCATATTTACTCCATCCATACCCTGGAAAACATTAATGGACTCCGATGACGCTAAGTCCTGCGGCGATAGGTTGAAGTAGAGAGGTCTAGCGTGGTGCAAGCTGGGCTTTGTCTGATTCCTGCACGCAGGCGGTCCCAGGGGTGTGAGCACACGCCGTGGTCGCTTTTGCATTGAAAAATCGGGACGACAATGCGAATTCGGCAGCACCTGGGATGACAAGAGCAGCCCTATTTAGGGAAGCACTGCTCTCCTCGCTCAGTCGAGGGGGGGGCTAGAAAAGGTGCCCTAAACAAATGCTCGTCCCTTCCTGGAAGGTGGTAGTAACCACGGCTGCCACCGCATCACTTAACACGTGGTCGACGCAACAAAAATAAAATAAATAACACACCATCTATAATGACATTTGGCGCATGGAACGTGAGAACGCTCATTGATAGAGATGGCAACGCCTGTCCTGAACGTAAAACCGCTATAGTAGCTCGGGAACTTCATCGCTATAACGTGGATGTGGCTGCACTCAGCGAAACACATCTTGCCGATGAAGGAGAACTAGTGGAAGATGGAGGGGGATACACTTTCTTCTGGAAAGGTACATCCGTATCTGAACCTCGACGTTCAGGGTAGGATTTGCCATCAAAAATCATTTAGTAAAGCGACTTGAAGAATGTCCTGTTCACATCTCGGACCGCGTTACCACACTGCGCCTTCACTTGGACAAAGACAACTACCTTAATGTTATCAGTGTCTATGCTCCAACGCTAGACAAGTCTGATGACATTAAGGACAAATTCTATGAGGAACTATCTCAATGCCTTGACAGCATAAACGCCAGAGAGCAGATACTATTGCTGGGCGATTTCAATGCTAGAGTTGGTCGGGACTATGAGGCTTGGCCTGGAGTTCTGGGGCGACACGGAGTCGGCAACATGAACAGCAATGGTCAGTTGCTACTCAGTCTCTGTGCTCAATACGATCTAGCGATATCGAACACTATGTTCAGACTTGCCGCTAAGCACAAGACGACGTGGATGCACCCGCGATCCAAACACTGGCATTTGATCGATTATGCTATTATGCGGCAAAGAGACATCAGTCAAGTCCAAGTCACCCGCGTCATGCGCGGTGCTCACTGCTGGACTGACCACCGACTTATTGTCACAAAACTGCGACTCCGCCTTCGTCGACCTCGTAGATCCATGATAAAAAAGCCTGCGTCTTTGAACGTGGATAGGCTGCAAGATCGCGAGATGAGAGAAAAGTATGCTGAAACCTTAACCGAAAATCTGTTGCCAACAAATGAGACAGTTGATGTCAATGCTGCTTGGCGAAATTTGTCATGTCATCTCATAGAAGCCGCTACCGCTACTTTAGGTACAAAAGACCGGCGTAGTGAAGATTGGTTCGATGACAATGACGAAGTTCTCAAGGCAGCATTCGACAAACATCGAGAGCTCCTGCGACAGCATCATCGGAGAGGTGGAAGTGTAGCGGCAGTCAAAGAAAGTGACCAAGAATTACGTAGGCTGTCTCGGAAAATAAAAGACAAGTGGTGGCAGGAAAAAGCTTGTCAGATGCAGTGGCTTGCCGATACAAACCAGCTTGGGGAGTTCTACTGCGAGGTGCGTAAACTGACAGGTACGCCCCATAGAGCAAAAGTGCCTTTGAGGTCTCTGGATGGCTCGCAACTCTTGACCAGCAAAGAGGATGTGCTCAAACGGTGGGCTGAACATTTTAACGATCTGCTTAACGTAGATCGATCAGCTAACCTGCAACACATCAGTTTATTACCTCAATTCCCCCTAGCCACCGAGCTGGACGAGCCCCTGTCGTGTGATGAGGTTGTTACTGCCATCAGACAGCAGCATAATAAACGGGCGGTTGGCATTGACCTTATACCAGGCGAAATACTTAAGTATGGCGGTGCGGAGCTGCACTCGATGGTATGGAAACTTTTTGTTCGAATGTGGGAGGAGGAGCGAGTCCCGGACGATTTTAAAGTGTCTCGCATTAGTGCCCTCTACAAGAACAAAGGTGACCGTTCTGACTGCAACTCGTACCGCGGTATTTCGTTATTATCGGTCCCCGGAAAGGCCTTTGCAAGAGTCCTGTTAAACCGCTTGAAGGACTTATCAGAAAAAATTCTGCCCGAAACCCAGTTTGGCTTCCGACCTGACCGAGGCACATGTGAAGCTATTTTCTCGGTACGTCAACTGCAGGAAAAAAGCAGAGAACAAGGTCGTCAGTTGTACCTCTGCTTTGTTGACCTGGAGAAAGCGTTCGACAGTGTGCCTCGTGAGGCTCTCTGGATGGTGCTAGGAAAACTGGGGTGCACGGAGAAGTTTGTGCGCCTCCTGAGACTCCTGCATGACAATATGCAGTGCTGCGTCTCTGTAGACGGTGAACAGTCTGATTTTTTCCCCGTCACCTGTGGGGTGAAACAAGGGTGCGTTCTAGCGCCCACACTGTTCGCCTTATACTTTGCGGTAGTAGTCAAGGAGGTCCTAAATACTGTCTCCGAAGGAGTCCGCATCCGCTTCCGCACTGATGGCAGTCTTTTCAATTTGGCTAGACTTAAGGCGCGCACCAAAGTCTCGCATGCACTTATTACTGAAATTATGTATGCCGATGACTTGTGCTTTCTTGCAGAATCCCCAGAAGGCCTACAACAACTGATGACCGTTTTTCACCAAGCATGCTGCAAATTCGGCCTAAAGATCAGTGTCAAAAAGACGGAAGTGATGTCCCTGGATACACAAGGTCGTGAGACACTGACAATTAAGCTTGGTGAAGATATGTTGAAACAGGTTGACAAGTTCCGATATCTGGGGAACACTATAACAGCTAAGTGCGACCTTGATGCTGAGATCAATAGCAGAATCAGTGCTGCAGCTGCAGCATTTGGGAAGCTGCGTTCCAAGGTTTTCTGCTCGCACGACCTTAAACTAGCGACAAAATATCTGTATATATGGCGATTGTGCTGCCAAACCTTCTGTACTCTTCCGAGACCTGGTGTGTGTATCGTCACCACATACGCACTTTGGATCGATTCCACCTCAAATGCCTTCGCACCATCATGAAGATCAGATGGTCCGACCGAGTGCGAAACACCGAAGTTCTAAGACGAGCCAATGTTGGTGGCATTGAAGCCTACTTAATGCGTCGACAGCTTCGGTGGTGCGGTCACGTATCCCGGATGGCGGATGAGCGAGTGGCGAAGCGCATCTTCTATTCTGAGCTAGAGGAGGGCAAGCGAAAGCATGGCGGTCAACTCCTCCGATTTAAAGATGTTCAGAAGAGACACATGAAAAGATGCAATATCGAACCCTCTCAATTTGAGGTTTTGGCAGCACAACGGCCAGAATGGCGCGGTCTTGTAAAGAGGCGAATCCGCGACTTCGAGGAGCAGCGTAAAGCAGACCTTGACGCTAAACGCGATGAACTGAAGGCCCGTCCTCCCGCCGCCATTAACTACAATTATATCAATGGCAAACTCACGTGCCCACACTGTGCACGGGAGTTTACTGCCAAAATAGGCTACAATAGCCACCTACGAGCGCATCAGCGCCGACTTGATTAGGAGTAGAAGTGGTCGCCATGGCCGAAACCGGCCGGAAAGATCATCATCATCATCATCATCACCCTGGAATGCCTTTCCGGTACTATGCCAAATTTCATGAAGATCGGTAAGGTAAGCGGCCACATGACAGATCGACAGACAGAAAAACTGAGTTTATACTTACGATTTAGTGAGTTGACGGAAATAGGTGCAACTATATAAGTATGGCCCAGTTTCCGACAAAATTAACAAAAATGTGACGAGTACTGGTACAAATTGGGTTTGGGATGTACCAGTACATGTCACCCTAAAAAAAAGGTACTTTTTGCCAAAAACCATGTCATATTTTTGTTAAACTCGATAAAACAATAAAATAATCTTATGATAAAACAATCACATTGACCGTATTGTCCACCAATAACTTGCAATACCACGAAGTTTTCGATGCACCACACTGAAAATTCAAGCACCGAATTTCCGAAATTAACGAATTTTTTGGACCTCTCACTTTTAACAACGATTTGCGCCGACGCTGACAAGTAGAATACATAATGATTCTAGTTTTATTATTTGCAAATATACCAAAACTATGCTGATTCACAAAAAAACTCATTATAAGTTTTTAATAAATAAATAAAAGGCTTTAAAAGTAAAGTGACGAGTACTGGGACACTGTCGACATTGTGTACACTTACCTTAAGTAATAAAAGTGTAGTTATGATCATAAAATATATATTTCCTTTCACAATTTCTCATTTCACGAATAAAAATTTTCGCATGTAGAATATTCATTCAAGGCATGTTTGTTTCATGAAGCAAAAGACGCTACGTTTTCAGAAGTAAATGTTAACGAGTAACTACAGAGCCAGGTATTGATAAAAAATTCCTATACAGTGTGTTACTGGCAAGCTTTCATTTATTCACACTGCTGATTTTAAGCATCTATGTGAATATCTTTTACTATGACGTCATCTGCTAAATTACGAAAAGAAAAAACCTCTGTTGCATACAGTTTGCTTGAATAGGTATTTAGGTTTTTGTATGCTAAAGTTGATTTTCAATAGAATACCAAATTTTTGAAACACTTCCCGTATTAGGATACCATTTAGGAAAACGTGTAAAACACATTTCAGTTAGAGGTCAAGATATACTTGCTTAATTTGCGGGCTTGGAGTGAACTGCTGTAACCCATTGGTAGAGGTGTCGCCAGTACAGATAGCGAAGGTCGCTAGTTCAAATCCAGCCCGCGGTGATAAATTTGCAAGTTTTTCTAAGTTGATTTTCATATGATTTCGCAGATGGCCCCGAAGTAAAAGACGTTCATCCATAGAACGTCCATCTGTACTGGCGACGCATCAACGAACTGGGTTACAGCAGCTCACTCCAAGCCCGCGTATTAAGCAAGTATCCATATACCTAGAATCATTAGCTTGAATCAATGCCCACTCGCCGGTAAGGTAACACTCGGTATTCTCGCTATGATATTATATGTGGGTTGTATTCTCAGTTCAATGTGTAGGTGTCCCCATTTAATTCAAATGTTTGCGTAACGTCCTTTGATGTAGCGAATACCGTATTGATAAAATAGGAACATCTATTCACCAACTAGGTATTTAGTAGTTATAGTTGCTACTTACAACGTTGCTATATACTATACATGCCTTGGTTGATTGGTAGCGTAATAATTTTATTGATAGGCAACGTGTACGAATATTTGGACTGTACACAGTTTACTGTACTACACACTTCGCAACCAATCTGTATCGCATACGTACCGCAGCGTTTTGCGGTTTTTGAGAGCCAGCAATCAAATGACAGCTGACACAGAAAGTTTACGAAGCGTCGTGTTCTATAAATATACAATTTTCTCGATCTGCAGGTAAAACACCGCTTAATCATTTTCTCTTTCTTATACAAATTAGCTGGGCCAGCAATATTATTTTACATGGTACCTTTATCTTTATTATGCAAATTTACCTGCAAAAATATTGGCACTAGTTTAAAAATCGAATACCTATTATATCTATTGGTAATCTTATCATCACATCACAAAAGCTCTTTGTCAAAGAAAAAGTATTTTAATGTGCAGTAGATAAGCTCTAAAACCAATTTTCTAGGAAAGCAAAATGTAAACGCTAATAGAAAATCTGATACACAGTCTGAAGCATCGAATCGCATATACGCCAAACGATCGAACGGTTCGCGAAAGCTACTGTGTAGGGTTACATTTAATTAGTACAAATCATCATCATCATCTTCCTGCCCTTATCCTAATTACTTGGGGTCGGCGCAACAATTAGTACAAATATTTTACATTTAATTAGTAGGTAGCATGTTCTAGTCACAAAACTGAACAACTTTTATTTGAAACTTTTCTTCGAAATATGAAAACAAAAATTGGATCTCCTATTCTAAGTGAAATACTGTTTTATACAACACGTTTGTATTGGAGGTCCGATTCCTTTTCGGTTTGTTCAGTTTTGTAAGTAGAACACGTCCTTTAAATATTTGTACTAAATTAAAAGTAATTAAATCCGGTTTTTAGTGTAGGATTTCAAAAAGGAATATTCCTTCCATCTGCCAATTGAATCCGGCAGAACGCCGTCCGTTTTTGTGGAAGGTGTGGGATTCGCTTAAGCCTAGAGAGTCGTTAATCTTATCATGAATAATAAGATCTATACGAAAGTACCAACTATACCGGGTGTAAAGGAAGGTGATTCAAATATGTTGCAGACATGATCAAACTTTGAAAGTAAACTATTATTTGGGCTTTGTTATTTTGGGAACCGATATGTTTTTTGAATACCCAGACAAAAGTGTCCGATCAGCGGAGCTGATTGATGTTCTATGAAAACACGAAAAATAATAAATAATTACGCAACATAATAATCCTGCTTCACACTGAAAATTGTTTATCTAATTTCATGATCAGAGACTGAGAATGCTTGCAAAGTTTTTGTTACATCATCCCGAGCAATAAGACCCGGTATTAGGTACTGAATAGAATTAAGTGATTTGTATTAGGTATTACGAATTGAAAGAGATGGGGCTTGGAAATTCAATTTACGAGTACTGTGTACAGAATAATAGGATGGATGGAATGATTTAGAATTCATTGGAAAAAGTCGGCGTGAAAAAAAATGTGGCTGATGCCTCTAAATGAATGTTAAGAGGGTATATTTTTCACGTACGGCTGTATATAAAAGGGATTTCGAAAATCGGTTTTCGTAAATCTATGAATGATTTTAAATTGGAAACGAAAATCCGGGTGTTATTATTGTCACCCGGCTGGCTTAGAAGAAGAAGAATGTTTTTCATAAGTATTTTATGCAGTGCTGACTTAGAATAGCACCACGCTATATCTTTCTCGCGGGTGTCGTAAAATTTGACTAAGGGATTTGAGAGTTGATGTGTATAGCAATTTTAGGCGACAGGCTGCCAACCTGTCACTATGTATGGTAATACACAGTTTTCTGAATTATTCTTAATTTTTTGTCAAATGTGGTATAAATGGCCGTTTTTTACAGCCGTTTAATCCCTGCCTACCCCGCATGGGATATAGTCGTGATACTATGTATGTAGGTATGTTGCAAGCATAGCATTAAGCGTCCTCCAGCCATATGGACTGAATACTTAAAGAACACAGCTCCAGTCAGAGGCCTGCTACTTGTAGTAGTCCGCTGAAAATCTGAGACCAAGGTTCATCGGGTCGTTGGGTGACTTGGCGTTCTACTCGAAAAAAGAAAAGGTATAACGACTTGGTTGCAAAAACAAGTGATCGTTCCCAATGGCAGAACTAAAAGAATGAGCTTCACTTCCAGCACTGCACTGCAATAAGCTGATGTCTTGGTGCATGTATGTATGTGGACACATGAAATTCTTTGTCACTACAGCCCTAGCGGCATCACATAAAAAAACCTTTATTTAAGGCCCAACTAGCTCCATTTCCTATTTCCAAAGCAACACTTTCCCGTATGGATAAACCGAGAGTTTCTCGAGGACTCTTAAGGCGAGGCGCAAGAGTCCCGTCTCAAGATTCCATCTCGAGTTCTTCGCGTGACGTAAGCCACTATACGCGTCCCTTATGCGTGCCAAATGAGCAGAACAGAAAGGTTTTTTATAAGTTTGCATAGCTGACTCTTAAATATGAAATCTATTATACAAGAAATGTTTTACGGTCGGTTATAGGAGTTATCTGACCCCCCTACAAAATTGGTAGGTTCGTAGGTAATTTCGTTCTAATTACTATTGTAACAAAGAATATAATGAATTGCGGGTATTAGAGTGGTTTGAATAAAGAAATAAACAGAAGAGGGAGCCACTGAACCATGAGTAATGCTTACTAGTATCCAAGGACATATATCTTTATGCTGTGAACATACGGTTGATATTATTAGAAAAACTTAAGAGGACAGCTACTGTCAGAGGCCTGCTACTTGTAGTAGGCCGCTGAAAATCTGTGATACCAAGGTTTATCGAGTCGTTGCATGACTTGGTGGCCCACTCGAAGAAAAAGACTACAGCACAAGCGGCCTCAAAAAGAAAACCTATATATTTAAGACCCAACTAGCTCCATTTCCTATTTCCAAAGCAACACTTTCCCGTATGGATAAACCGAGAGTTTCGATGATGAGGCGAGGCGCAAGAGTCCCGTCTCAAGATGCCATCTCGAGTTCTTCGCGTGACGTAAGCCACTATACGCGTGCGTAGTGCGTGACAAATGAGCAGAACTAAAAGGTTTTATATAAGTTTGTTTAGCTGACTCCTAAATATGAAATCTATTATATAAGAAATGTTTTTACGGTCGGTTATAGGAGTTATCTGACCCCCCTACAAAATTGGTAGGTTCGTTGGTAATTTCGTTCTTATTACTATTGTAACAAAGAATATAATGATTTGCTGGTATTAGAGTGGTTTGAATAAAGAAATGAGTAATGCTTACTAGTAGCCGGAAGATGAATTGCTCGAAGCTAGTAGCAAAGGACATATATCTTTATGCTGTGAACATACGGTTGATATTATTAGAAAAACTTAAGAGGACAGCTACTGTCAGAGGCCTGCTACTTGTAGTAGGCCGCTGAAAATCTGTGATACCAAGGTTTATCGAGTCGTTGCATGACTTGGTGGCCCACTCGAAGAAAAAGACTACAGCACAAGCGGCCTCAAAAAGAAAACCTATATATTTAAGACCCAACTAGCTCCATTTCCTATTTCCAAAGCAACACTTTCCCGTATGGATAAACCGAGAGTTTCTCGAGCACTCTTAAGGCGAGGCGCAAGAGTCCCGTCTCAAGATGCCATCTCGAGTTCTTCGCGTGACGTAAGCCACTAAACGCGTGACTAGTGCGTGCCAAATGAGCGGAACAGAAAGGTTTTATATAAGTTTGTATAGCTGACTCTTAAATATGAAATATATTATACAAGAAATGTTTTTACGGTCGGTTATAGGAGTTATCTGGCCCCCCTACAAAATCGGAAGGTTCGTAGGTAATTTCCTTCGTTCTTATTACTATTGTAACAAAGAATATAATGATTTGCTTGTATTAGAGTGGTTTGAATAAAGAAATGAGTAATGCTTACTAGTAGCAAAGGACATATATCTTTATGCTGTGAACATACGGTTGATATTATTAGAAGAACTTAAGAGGACAGCTACTGTCAGAGGCCTGCTACTTGTAGTAGTCCGCTGAAAATCTGTGATACCAAGGTTTATCGAGTCGTTGCATGACTTGGTGTCCCACTCAAAGAAGAAGATTACAGCCCTAGCGGCATCACAAAAGAAAACCTTTATATTAAGGCCCAACTAGCTCCATTTCCTGTTTCCAAAGCAACACTCTCCCGTATGGATAAACCGAGAGTTTCTCGAGGACTCTTAAGGCGAGGCGCAAGAGTCCCGTCTCAAGATTCCATCTCGAGTTCTTCGCGTGACATAAGCCACTACACGCGTGCCTAGTGCGTGACAAATGAGCAGAGCAGATTCACTAGGGTCCGCTAGGCGCCCGTAGCTCAGTTGGTAGAGCGGTGGAACGGCAATCCACAGTCCCGGGTTCAAGTCCCGGCGGTTGCTAATGAATTTTTCAATTTTCTCATTATTTAATTAATGAGAATAATATAGCGCTGTGAGTGTTTTAAAAATTCCAATACAGAGCAGAAAGGTTTGTATAAGTTTGTCTGGCTGACTCTTAAATATGTAATCTATTATACAAGAAATGTTTTTACAGTCGGTTATAGGAGTTATCTGACCCCCCTACA